TAATAGGTGGACTGACACTTCACTCAATATTATCTTTACCTGTTAATCAGTTAAATAGAGAGTTGAGTCCACTTAGCAATGACATAGTTAATTCATTGTATTCCAGACTTATCGATTTAAAATTAATCATAATTGATGAAATATCGATGGTAGGTGCTCGTATGTTTAGCTCTGTTAATGCGAGATTAAAATAAATTTTCAAAACAGACCGCCCCTTCGGTGGTATACCGACCATAGTGTTTGGTGATTTGAAGAAACTCTCACCTGTTGGAGATAGGTAGATGTTCTCTTCTAATCCCAATGATGCATACAGCACTTTAGTTGCTTTCCCCTTTGTGGGAGTTACATATCACTCATTGAAGCTCGAGTTGTTAATTTCGAGGAAGTTCCCGATGATGCTATACATTGATTTTGGCCCAATGGAGAGACAAATAATTTTAATGCCCTTAAGCTCAGTCGAATCCCAACTGTAGCTATCCTTTCAACTGCAAAAGACTCAGTTAAAGGAATTGGTGTAAGTGAAAATGAGAATATTTTGGAAAGAGTTAAACTTTTGTATGAATTGATACTTTTGTATGAATTGATACTAAAAACCTCCGCCAAATATATGATTACAGTGAATATTAACACGTGTGATGGGTTGGTTAATGGGGCAGCTGGAAAACTTATGCAAATTGACTTTCATTTTTCAACAATTCTGTGGATTCAATTTTTGGAACCTTCTCTTGGTTTGATAGCACGATCAAAAAAGCCTCATCCTCTAGAAAGTTCTTGGACACCAATTGAAAAAGTTCTAAAATCTTTTCAATATAAAAGAAATGAACAAATTTCAATTGAAAGAAATCAGTTTCCAGTTATTCCGGTTGGGGGAATAACTATTCATAAAAGTCAGGGTGCCACATATAATAAAGTTGTAGTTCATACTCGACCCAGAATGCTCATAATATATGCAAAGCATAGCATTGCTAGCTCTTTAGAACCAAAGGCTGTAAAGAAAATTTATTCAGGCCGCAAAGTTTTAGAAGCGGTTTTGTTTAAATTTTTCAATATTAATATTCTGGTTCTATACAGAAACTCAGCTTTCTCTGTCAGACATTTAATTGTAGAACTTCGGGAAGTCATTACTTCTGAGTTATGCGATCATACTGTGCTAATTGTTGGAGATTTTAACTTTTGTTTAATGTCTATAGGGACTACAATAAGAAATCTGCCACAAAAAAAATACTTTAGTTCCCTGCTTGGTGTAGAATATTCAACTACACCTGCCGGTACACAAATTGCATGAATAATCTAATTAAGCAAATTTAAATTATATGTATAATTTGTTATTATATATATATAAGAAGAAAAGAAATATAATTTGTATATTTATATAAGAATCTCTATAAAAATTTGTGTTTAATATTGTAAGCATTATATACAAATGAATACAATAATATAATTTTTAAAGTTGTTAATATTTATTATATTTAAGCTAAACATGTATAATAACATCGATAAAATAAATAAGGATGTCAGTCATCAAAAACAAGTTTCTTTTCATATTCCCCAATCATAGGATTGTTGTTATTCATTCTATATAAAATAAATTATAAAAAAAATATAAAATAAAAATATATAAAGAAATCTCAAACGAGTTTGCCATTTGATTATACGAGAGTAAAAAATGTTCGGTTACATCCGAACTTAGCCCTTTCTTACTTGTTAGTAAACGTCGTTGGTTTTTAAAATAACCTAATCTAATTTTTACTAGAAAAACAGAATATTTTTTAGTGCAGGAGCCTTTGAAAATGGTAAAAAGTGAAAGAAATTCTCTGTAGGTTGAAACTCCTTAAAAACGAAAGATAAAATAATTTACGGCCGATCTGAATTCGGGAAGAGGAAGAGGAGTGGTTGAAATTTCAAGGGTTAAAAACACTTTAGCTCGATTTCCGGCAAAACTACGAGACAATTTTTTTAATAAAAATCTATATATTTTTTATACCATGAGAAAGTTTCAAGGAATATAAAGCGTACTGACTCAAAAAAATCTGAGATTTTGAAGTGAGAATTATAAATATATTAGTGCTTTTTTAAATTTTGTTTGAAATAAGCTTTCCTTCTTAGTATTTTAAGTGAAAAAAATGTAGTGTGTTTGGGACATTAGAAAGTATGTTTACATCTAATTTCGGGAAAAAAATTGTCTCGTACAAGATAAAATTAGAAAACCAAACACTTGTATACTAGAACTTTTTCAGTTATGTGCAAAAGGTGTAAATTAAAGTATGCACATATATTCTATAAGATTTTAAGTTTTGCCGGAAATCGACCTTCCTCTGTCTGACTTCAAATCGCCGGTAAATTTGTTTTCTTTTTATTTTTGTATTTTATCTTTCGTTACCAATCGGTTTCAACCTAATATGCTTTTTTTAGTATCCTATCCTGGTCTATTTTACCAGCGTATTTTATCGGTGACCATTGAATTTGATAATCTATTCCCACAACACTGAATCGAAGTTTTGCTGTGCTATTATTTCTAAAAACTCTTCCATAACGCTTATAGATTTTCTATGAGCTTTTAATCGAATGAATATGTCCTTAAGAAGATTTGTAAAACTTTCATTAGTACCTGATATAAAAATCTTTCAGTGAAAAACATAAAGTTTGTTATAATTTATTATTATATTGAGTAACTATGATTTCTAACAAATTAAAATTGTTTACCAATTTTAAAGAAATCCGAAAAGTCAAAAGAGGTAAAAATGTATTATTCTTCCCTTCATATTCATGTCTTTAACCTAGAATACCCTTTTAACAATTTTACACCGTGGTAATTTCAGTTTTATCAACAAAGTTTTGAACTTTGAGCGGATATATTCATTGAAAGCTTCCAAAATACAATTTCTACAACAGCCAAGTAAAAAGATTGGTCAAAGAACTTATATGTCCACAAATTTATAAGTAACATATTTCAAAAACCAAATGAAACCTATAGCATCGCACTATATTTTAATTTGTAAATCGGAGATCTTTCTATATGATTAAAGTTGTAACACTTCGACGACTTTGATTTCGAACTACTTTTGAAATTCAGAATGATTAGGCATTGTACAAGAATTTGGTGTGTTAATATCTTTCAGACGGATCCACACTCCTGAGAGAACTTTATAAATTACTATTACTATTTCGATATATCGTTTTTTTTATACAGATCGAGTTGGTTTCATTCAAGCCCGTATTGTGTTTCACATTATTATTATTTGAGCAATAAAACTATGAAAATCCTCTTCGCTTTAGTATTTAACTCAGTACTTTCGAAAACGAAAAAAAATGTATCTGTACCTAAATTAAATCAATATTCGTTTAAATTCGAATGCATTATAAACGTAATCGTATGTTAGTAAGTCAACTGACAGCAATATTTATTTTTATTTCTTCACTTCTTATTCTTCTGACAAACCTATTGATCAATCTGAATGAAATGTCTAGATTGTTTTCTTTAACCTCTAAGACTATGCTCACACGAGGACTTTTTCTGTCGCTAAAACCAGTTTTTATGAGGGAGGGGACGACAATGAAAGACAAAGGGACCGTGCCGTACGTACTAGTTTGGCATGCTTTATGTTCGCCTTCGTAACAGTTCGCTGCTACGCAATTCGGCCTTATATTTTGCAATTGCACTCGGTTTCAAATGAATATTTATATTATGTTAGGAAATTTAAATGTTATTATCTATGTATTTTTTGTATGTAAAATGTAAATTTGTATGCAAATATGCATACTATAATTGAGATATATTTCAAAAGGGAGAATGAAAATAAACATTAGCTAATCACAAATGTTTTTCTGCACAGCCTACATGAAGCGTACAAGAATTTGAGAATATGATATTATATGAAAGAAAATTGTCCGACTCAAGTTGTCGGACTCGTATAGCTCGTGTGAACGCAATGAGCCACTTGAGCCGATAATGTGCGACAAAACGAATCCCCGTCTAAAATCGGTCTTCGTTTTTTCTTCGTTTAAAATCTAACCATAGCCAAGCATGTCTTCAGCATCATTTGACTTTCTTCGGTTTATTTGACTTCGAAATGGGGGACTTATCAACAAATGGTTAACATTCCGATATATAACTCGAGCAATTAAACATACTTAGAAGTATTGACAATGACTCATCGGCTTCTTCTAGGCAGTGCTGCCAAGTTGTTTATTTTAGAGTGATATCGCCAACTGCTGTTGGAGGTTTTTAAATATTTCGCTTGGAACTTTGTAGTGCATAGCAGGGGTAGAAACGGCTCACAACTTCCCCTTCGCCCAAAGTTCGGTACGGCTTATTTCCGTCGAGCTTTTATAATTAGGATAATTTTTTAGTGAAATGAAAATGTAAAAAAATAAAATATTTGCCTTGCTCTCATACATACAGGCTGAATAAAAATTTTAGCTTTATTTTTGGAACTTAAGCTGTCTAATACTATAATAAACTATACACATGGAAAGAGTTGTTATTACAAACTATGAACATACCAATACGAAAATATGTTTCTAAAAAAATAAAACGAAATATTTTCTATGAAAAAGTTTGTCGTCCTGTTTACCAACTATCAACGCTTTTCCTTTTTGTGTAGCCCAAATATGTTGTTAAAAGTTACACATTTTAAAAGTTTCACTATTTTCAACTTTTGCTATGTAGTTATTTGAGTGTATTTTTTTAGATGTGTGTGTGAGTGCGTACGTGTTGTGACACACTGTTTCCCCAACTGAATGTATTAGGTTTATTTTTTTTTTTTTTAATCTCAGTGTTTGCTTATTTCAAATCCATTTAACCTATAGAGACCCACGCAGCCAACCAGCGAAGTGTAGAAAAGTTCACTGGAGAAACACAGTGGAGAGGAAGCAAAATAATGCAGGAAGCGCAAGCGGATGAGAGCAGCAGAGCGTTAGTGGGTGGCCCGTTATGTGGGTAGCTGGTGGACGACGCAGACAACAAAGTGTTCGTCTTATTTCTGTTGCATTCTATTTACCTTCGAGCTTGATGCCGCCGTAGCGCGTCACCGAACTGTCCTTCGACAGAACCTTGTATCTAATGCGAAAGTCGAAATTATAGCCGCTCTGGTCCCGCGCCAGCCTGCGACACACGGATGCAGCGATAAAATTGGAAAGCGTGCCAATGGGCCGTGCAGCGAATGGGATTTGAAGTGGCGTTGGATCGTGTGGTGGCAGCAACAACAAAGTTGGTATTGTCCGTGAAGCAGATATGGAAATAGAAGAATGAAAATGGCAAAAATTGAATGGAATTCGAACAAAAAACAGCTTAGACACAATGGTAAGAAAATGTATGCAGGCAGATGAAATGAAATGCAACGAAATGAAATGCAATTGAGTAACTGGTAGTTCCTTGCTTGCTCAGATTGTTAGCGAAAACTTTTTAGTACAAATCAGTGTAGCATTTGTAATTTCAATTTGTCTCATTGCAAATGATTTCAAGTACATTAAATGAAATGTGGGAGAGAAAGAGAGAGAGTGGGCGGGAGATGTCGCGAAAGGTGTGAGAATAATTGGCAAACATTAGTCGTGAATAAAATGAAAAATGTGTACTTACTTATTTAATTTTATTGTGAAAATCAATGATCTGGTTTCGCTGTAGAATAGCACTGGGCCCCAGGATGTGCCGCACCACATGCCACCGATGGGAGTGCGCGCCGATTCGGCGATTTGCATGTAACCATCCGGACAACCGTCATGTAGATACGAGGTGAAGCGTCCGATTGTGAAGCTATCAAGTGTTACCTGTAAAACAATGTATCTGAGTCAACAAAAATTGATGAAGGTGTGCGCAAAATAGTTTGAGCAATTAGGCTAAATGTTGTACGACCGAACTTAGCTGCATGTATAGTATAGAGGAAGTAGATGTGGTCCGTTTCTAAACGCTTTTATGCGTATATACCAATACTAAGTGAGATAAGCCTTGCCAAAATTACTTTTAATTGGTTATTTTATTTTAAGATTTTTATTTATAATCCGTACACGTGCATGCTTAGGATTGGCGTGTAAACATTTCTTCTATGCGTGATCCAGGTTCTCATCTTCCTTGTGATGTACTCTCTGTCTGAAATGTTATGAGAATTTTCCCGCTCTCACTTTTCCAACGCTTCAATTTCTAGCCGAGAAAAACTTGTCTAACTACAAGTCATATGTTGGATAAAGCACTCGCGAATATTTGTGTGTGCGAAGATTCTTAAATCCATCGAAACGATGGCAAAATGTCATCATTTCGAGTTGCTTTCGGATTATCCTTGTTCTACGGATCTGAAGCCTGCTACTTTCTTCTGTTATCCTAACTTAATAAAATTAATGGTCGCTGGTAAAAAATAGGGGCACAAAAGTCTATTTTCAGGCAAAATACTACATACATTGATGGTAGGTCGTTGTAAGCCGTGTATCACCCTCGATAACAACTATGAATACTTTTTTATTATCCAGGGTCGCTTCCCAAAAAAATGATTTATTTGTAGAAAATTATGCAGACTTCGCATGACTAAAAGCTGGAATCGGACTAGTTGGAAAATGGTGAAATTTCCTGCTGGCCGAGGCAGTGACACACTGGGATATTGCCACTTATGTGTGCGGTAGAACATATTTCAGTTTGTTGAAAAAGGCAAACAACTCAACGTCAGGTACCAAGGTAGTACTATGGAGTACCTAATAGTTGAGGGGCTTTCGACGCGCCGAAACAAATAAATTCCCATTTTAGGTGTGAATAATGGCGAGTATGTTGAGTGAGTGCGAAGTGGACGTGTTGCAGCATATCTGCGACTACGCGTGCAGCAGTTGCACAAACAATTGGACATTGAGTGAAATATTCACCAGTTGAAGTGTAGCATTCTAGAAAATATTACATTTCAACACACACTTATTCATAGATAATGCGAATTCGGTATGTGTGTGCCACTTATCGTTTGCTGGGAGAGCAGCTCGTTTGTTAGCTCTGCTGGCGTTTGATGTTAACACCAATCAGTCAGTATGTTGCACGTTCGCCATTTACAGCGTTATACTTGGTTGATGGCGCATTGGCGCATTCACAGGATTCTGCCATTTGTGGTTTTTCACATAAGCCCCGCTTTGTTAGGTAAAATTAAGTGGTTAGTATCTTAAAATTTCTAATTTAGAATAATTTTGTTGCAATTATTAACCCTTTTCATAGTCATATGAGTTAGTCGTCCAATTTTTGCATAATTGTACCAATTTTTATATATTCCTTTTACGCTTCAATTTCGTCTAAAACAAAAGCTACGTAAGTTACTAGTAAGTATTCAACAAAGTGAAATAAGTAATTGACATTTCTATACTCTTGCAACATGTTGCTACAGAGTATAATAGTTTTGTTCACCTAACGGTTGTTTGTATCGCCTAAAACTAATCGAGATTTATATAGAGTTGTAAAAAATGATCCATTTCGAGGTTTCCTACTTTTTTAAAGAAAAAACACAGAAAATTCAAATTTAATGGCGAACATTCTTTGGCATTTATTTCTTGAATATTATCTCTTGGCCGCGGCTACGTCTCAGATGGTCCATCCGTTTAGTCCAATTTTCTATGACTCGTTCGAGCATTACTAGTAACTTGCGAATGACACGTGTGGTGTTTTGCTCCAAGACCTGAATCGAAGCGGGATTGTTCGCATAGATTATAGATTTTACATATCCCCACATGAAAAAGTCTAACGATAAAGTAAACGGTAATCATGACGCTATAACGGTCGCTATGACGGTTACGGTCTTACCGGTATAATGTGTGAAGAAACTACACCAATCCGTTGGTTTTGCTGGATGAAATCGCAGCTCTTGAATCTCTTCAGATTGCTCTTCGTCCCAAATGCGGAAATTTGTTTACATACTCATTGAGCCAGAAAATAAATCGCTTAAGTACCACTTCCAACAAAACGGTATCGGCTATAATCACGCCTTTTACTTTCCAGTATACCAAGCACCAATGGATAAAACTTTGCACGGCTTTGTATCGGCCAATCTGTGACGTATATTTTAGAAGCCCAATCTTTAACTGATATTAATGTGCTCGTGAGCACAAAATAATAGAAAATTTTTCGAAATTTTTTTTTTTAAATAAATAAATGAAAATACCGCATACTTGCAGCTTGTGCTAATTCATGGAAGCAACTTAACATACCCATGTTTTGTACTCCAACTAACAAACTGCAACGAGAAGAATGGGAAAAAGCGTGCAACTCAGTTGGTCATCGAGAAAACATACTTATGTGGGCTACATTTTAAGGCGGTGGAAATATACGAATCTACCCTTAAAAGAAGATGACTAAGCCTCAATGCAGTACCTTCATTAAAATTACTTTTAAGAAAACAAGTAAGAAACACTCATCTTCTGATGAATAGAAATTTTACGTTTTTACTTGACAAACTTGTTTGCGCGAAAATTCTAACAAGTGATCGGAAGCTATACATAATATAGTTTTTGTGGTGAAGAATTTGTGTTGTGGAATTGGTCTAAATTTCTCGTACCACGCCTGTTTTAATACTGCTCTTGCTAACGTAGTTGTTCAAACCGAGTGAGTGAGCTTGCTGTGCTATTATTTTCGAACACGTGTGCTAATGCTATAAGATGATGATACATAACAAAGATGGACATAAAAATATATAACGCGGTTTGGAATGCGCAGATTTTATCCAACTTATTAATAATAGTTTTGATATTTTTAATTCCAATCTTCGTTCCAACCAAACTCCATATAAAATGCCTTTTGGAAAAGCATTTTTGCTACAAAACGATGTGCTCTAAAAATGTCAAAAATAATGTATGAGGCTTTAATTCCAAATAAACGTTGCATAGCTCCTTTTCAAAAGGGAGTACTTATTTCCACTTCGTCTCTTAAACTATTACATTAGTAGTTAAATACCAACTTTGGGATATAGTATATTTTAACGCAGCGCTTGAATCAAGACATCTTGGAGCATTTTTTTATCGCTATGAGAATGGTTGGGGGATAATATGACTATCCGAGTACGATGCAAAATGGCTGACATTAGATCCAGATCCGGAAAATTTTTAAAAGATGAGAAATACCTACACGAAGGACACTTTTTAAGTAAAGAAAATTAATATTCAAAATTTGAGTAGTACAAGCTTGGGTTTATTTTGTGAATATTTTTCTCCTATAATAAACGTTTTTAAGTTCTAAACGATAAATGAAAAATACAACAAATTCACGGTATCTTAATATTTATGCACAGACAGACGGATGGACGGACAGACAGACATCCGGGTTTCTACTCGTCTCGTCATCCTGATCATTTTGTAATTTAAAAAAAAAGGCAACTCTGTCACATATTGTAACAAGAATCAATAAAGCTACTGCTTGCTGCCTTTTTCATCGCAACTCTCAACTAACGCGGACGTGATATTGGTGACCCGTTTTTAAAATCAAGTTTTTTGTTTTAATTAAGATTATACGCAACCTTCTGATGAACTTCAACGATAGCTCGTTTGTAACGGATGGAGGAAGTCCGTCATTCCAAAGTCGGGAAAGTTATCTCGAGCATGTTTAATTTTAACAGATCTGTTTGCCTACTTTGTCGGTCATCACGGCTTAATCCTCGACTTACAAGGTCAACGCCTTGTAGATCGCACAACTCTACTCAACGCACCGTGCTCATTGACGAAATTTACAACTTCGACAATTTCTACAATATCACAACTCATAAGGTTTCCGGTTCCACATCATTGGGCGCTTGAACAAATGCATCCGTAATCCACCACTAGCCTACCTGCGCGCGACCACGACGTCTATCGCCGGAGAAGCTAGCAGCTGCTCGTTTGAAATTTGAGCTCTTAATAAAACTCGGTATTCGTCATCCTTTCTACAGTAATTGGGACAGCCCGCTGCATTTAGTACGCCTGGCGGACGGATAATGGAGGCAATGTGGAGATTACAGGGCTTTGAACGCCGTAACCGTGTCGGAAATATATCCGCTGCTGTTCCTATAAGATTTTTTCCCAGTTTTAGCAAGTTAATTGTATTTTCTAAAATTGATCTGCAGAAAGCTTTCCACCAGGCGCGGATACTTCACAATGACGTTTGAACCGCTATAAGCACTCCTTTCGAGTTGTTTGAGTTCACTCATATGACATTTGGCCTGAGGAACGCTGTCGAAACGTCTAATCAACGAGGTCTTTCGCGGACTCGATTTCGCATTCGCATACATGGATGATGTTTATATCGCATCGAAATCTATTGTGGATCGTAAAGAACAATTCCGTTTAGCCTTCAACGTTGACGCAGCTTGGATCACTTTAAACTTTTTTTAGCGTTGCTCAATTATTATCGCATATTTTTGTCAAACGCGTTAGACATCTAAGGAGCACTCTTTGCGATACCGGACAACAAGAAAAACGACAACAGCAAACTGATGTAAAACCAAGCTCGCGAATTGTGATATGCTAGCACATCCACTACCACATGAAGAACTCTCTCTGTGGGAGTCGCTTCGGATTTTGCAGCCAGCCCCGCTCTGAATTAGATTGTTGACGATACTTTTCAGCACTAAAATTTTTTTAAGGCAAGTTTCCGCTACAAAACGCTACAGCAACGCTATCTATGACCGCGAGTTGATAGTCTTTACTTTGCAATGCGCCACTTTCATTACATGGTAGAGGTTCGTGTTTGCTATGTGTACACCGACCACAGGCCGCTCGTCTTTGTCTTTCACCAACATTTGTATAAAGCTTAAGACAGACAAGCTAGACAACTGGACTTCTTATAGCAGATTACAACTGAAATTCGGCATATTTAAGGCGAACACAATGTTGCAGCTGACCTGCTCTCTCGAATACAATCGCTCACCGAGAAGTTGGTTACAACGCAGGGAGAGTCCCAGTCAAGGCAACAACAGGTATTGTTCGACTGTAATTAATCGCTTCACTCGTTGGCCAGACGCAATATCAATACCTAACATGACAGTACCGGTTGTTGCCAAGGCCAGCTCAGTGGCTGGATAACGCGTTTTGGAGAAGCCATCGACATCACGCCCGACCTCGGTCGCACGAGCTCGTGCAATGCCTTGAAGTTTCACACCTGTGAACTACACCATATCACACACAGGTTAATGGCCTGATTGAAAAGTAGCTTCGCAGACTAAAATCCACAATTTTATGCCACAACGTAGACAAATGAACAGCTTATATATCAATCATCCTGCTTCGTCTCTGCTCAGCATTTAAAGACTACATCAGTTGTTCACCTGCAAAGCTAGTTTACGGAACTGTGTTTCGTCTACCGCCCGATTTTTTCACTAGCAACGGTCGTTCATGCAACGAAATTTAGAAATTCGCCCAGTGAATCCCGTTTGGCACACTACGCAAAGGACATTCGTTCACAACAGTCTGAAGTCATGTGATTAGGTTTTCATTCGAGATGATCCCGTCCGACCATCTTTATTAGCACCCTAAAAAGGACCATTCAAGGTTATCAGTCGTAAACCGAAATAATTTGTCATCGAGGCAAATGCTAATAGAATTAAATTCTCTACGACTCTCTATTAGGGGGTTACTGTAGTGTCCTGTGCCGTGCGTTGCGTTCGCAAACCTAAGTAATAAATTTGTAATTAATTTTAAAAATGCAACTCTGTCACATATTGTAACAATAATCAACAAAGCTCCTGTTTCCTCTCTTTTTCATTATCAACTCTCAACTAACGCGATCGCGCCTTCCTCCATCCTTTCATACATAAAGCTATATCTCGATTAGTTTTAAATCCGAGCCGTAGCCGAAAAGGCTACATTTAATATATTGAGTTAATGTGGAAAATATCAACCATAAAATGGAAATTATCCATAAAAGGTTTAGACCAATTCCATTCATATTCAGTAGTACACCACAACATTTTCTTTAAAATGTTGCACATTTTAACATTTTGGGGCTATAAAAAGGCGCGGGGATGATTGCATAAATTTTGACCTTACTCAAGTATACTTGAGAACATATTTTATTAATATATAACTCGCATACTGAAGGAGATATTCATCATAAGGCTTTTAAAAAAAACGAAATTACTATTTGTATTTGAAATTATTATCTGTTGTATGTTGGAGGGTGGGTAGTTCGTATATATAGTATAATGCCAACCGGAAGTTTAAAATTTGTATATTAGGTATACTGGGTCTAAGGGATGTGTTGACCCGATTTTTATTTACTTCTGGCATAACTACATATTATTTATTAACATGTCACATACTAATAATATGCTCCCTGGGTTTCATTAAGGTACACTTATGTTACCATCACCAATCATATGGAGTAAAGTCAGCAGAAGTTTTCTCCCGATAAAATAGGTAAATATATATGCGGTATAAAGTAAAATGGAAGTTCGAAAATCTTGGTATCAGGTATATGGCGACTTCGAATTCCAAAAAAATATTTTACAGGTTGACTGATATTTTCGATTAAATGTTCGCTGTAAGAACTGTGGTCCACATATTCGGTATCTAGGGTCCTGAACAGTTGTAATACGATTTTGACAATTTTTGTCATAAGGTGGTCTATTTTAAGCGCACTCTTCGGGCAAAGTATCCCGATACATTCCTTGGTGATTGATTTGCATACTGGAAAATGAACGAGTCGAATAGAATTTAAAATTGTTCCTGTATTTTGTGCGTGGTTGTACTCCAATTTCACACTGGAACATAAAAATTTTAAGATAGTATCACATACCAAATTTGGTCGATAATGGTCGAGTAGGTCCTGAGATATGTGATTTCGCCTAAATGTGAGCGGTGCCAAGCCCATCGTTTTATTTTGACCTGGCTCCTCTAAAGTCCACTTGTACCATCTCGGGTGTAAAATTTAATGTTTTTCGCTTATTTATTTATTGATTTACCGCGCTTTTAGTAGTTTTTAACAGCACTGTTAAATGGGGATTGGGCGGGTTTATCATTTAATTTAATCCGTTTTTACAGTGTCGGTAGGGGTGCTTAAACGATTTGTCATGAGTGAATTTAGTTATTGTATCTTAAGTGGTTTAGGATATGCATATGTTCATTAAACCTCTTAAAGGGCGGAGTCATACCCATTTTTTTCAAAATTTTAGCCCAAAAATGCCCTTTACTACTACGATCCCCTGCGCTAAATTACAGTTTAATATCTAAATTTAGTGCTTAGTTATGGCTTTTAATAGATTTTCGTTTAATGGCATTTTGCGGGCAGTAGCAGTGGTCTGATTACGTCCATTCACGAACTCATCCTCACTTTTTTGTGAAGGAACACGTGTAACAAGTTTCATCAAGATATCTTATGTTATTGAAATTCGGAGCAAATCCTTTCCTGATAATAGTATGCCTGTATGTCAAAATTGGGTTGAATTGGATGAAGACTTCTCTTAGTTTATATCCCATATATCGGCCAATATGTGAGTTATCTTCGTGAAAACAAGAGCGCGTGTTTTACTTTTAACAATGTAATTTTGTGCCTAAAATGGATAAAAATCGGCTGAAAACTTGCCCTGGCCCACAAATTACTAATATCACGGTTTTCGAACATCAGGCTGACTTTACTCCATATATATTGTTCATGGTAAGTATACATTCAAGAAATTCAGGGAGCGTATTATTAGTTTGTAACACGTTAATAGTATGTGGTATTGCCAAAAATACCAATTTTCGTTATGGTAACAAGACTTATACGAATATGAAGTTCAGTGTGTGAGTTATAGGTATATTTATAAAATTGTTTAAAAAAATGATCTTAAGTATACTTGAGTAATGTTCAAACTACTGCAATTAGTCCGTCTCTTTCTCTGCCCCCAATATAGCATATACTATGATTTCCGACGTTCCACCTGACTTTAAATCATACAGGTTTGTCAAAATATGTGATATTTTAATGAATTTAAATGGACAAGTTTCTTTGAAAATTATATGGTTTATCACTGTATTTGAATAGAATTAGTCTAAACCTCGTTTTTTACATCAACTCAATATATTAAATTAAGCCTCTTCGGTTGAGTTTATATCACATATGTCTCCCGTTTCAAATACTCCTTAAAATCATAATTTTGTTATTGTTTCTGATTGTTTGTAAGCTCTCGCGGCACCACCTTCGCTTGATATCTTTAGAGTGTCAGCTACCGCAAACAACTTTACTTTACGGTCATCCAAAATTACTTTGTGGAATTTTTTGATGTTTTCGTCGGTAATAGCCTTTATGGGCCATCCACTGCGTGCATGTTGTTGTTGTAACGGTTACCTAATCCCCGCTTGGGTGGTAAGTTTGAGTTTGGCTGTCGTCGAGGTCATCTAACGAGAGGCCGAGCTGTTTTAACGGGGTCGGACCATAGGTAAATGAGTGTTAGATGAGTGGGGTTCGTTGGTCATGCAAAGAGGTGGTTAGTGTTATGCGGAGACTCATTGCTGCTACGGTATCCAGAACAAAGTTGCGCAAGGGTCACTCTAGATTCTCGTGGTAACTCGAGCTCTACGTCTGCGATGGGTGGTGGTTTGACTCTAAGTACGCCATTCACTGAGTGGCGGTCAGTGCATGTCTAAAGTACGTTGTGTCCGAGGTCTGGTCGGCGTACTGTCCAATGTCGTCGACGTAATCAAGGAAGGACCTCTTGATGTTCCTAGGTCACGGTTCCACTTCAAGCAGACGACTGCAGGTGTGGTTTCTACGAAAATATCCCAGCAGAAACTGCTTAGAGAGAAGCTCGTAATGTTCCTTAACCGGAAGCGGGTTCGATTGGGGACATCAAGAGACATACCGTGATAGTTCGGAGTGCAGTGCTTTGACATGGCTGAAGCTTCTTCGCCTGCGTTTCACTACATCCAGGCGACCATATTGGTGTAGCGTAGTTTAAAACCGGCCGGCTGATTGCCTTTTCCCCAAAAGCTGCCGCCAAGCGATTTGAGGATTTTGTTGCGGCTGTGTACTTTGGTAGTTGTCGCGGTTGTATGAGGAGTGAAGGAGCACAGGCTGTCAAATGTAACACCTCAAATTTTAGGATTGTTGACCGTCGGAATTTTAAAGCTATCGACTGAAATGCTTAGTTCCAGTCTGTAATCCTTCGCCCAGTTTGTAAAAATGGAAGCTGTGGATTTAGTGGGGAGAGTGTTAGTCTCCTTGCAGTGAAGAAGCGAGAAAGGTAGGAGAGATAGCCGTTTCGATCACATGCCATTGATTTCATGAGCGTGCATCGTCCTCGGTGCTTATTTCGTCTCGTTTGAATTAGCAAGCTCTCAACTGTTGATTTTTCTGGTGTAGAGTCCGAAAAATGCTCATCAAGCCAAGCCTTGGATTTAACGTTACTTGTTTTGTCAAAAAGCAAAGTTTTTTTAACACACGAATTTTCCTTTTATAAATTTTTTAAACTAACCCACGTTGCTTCACTCAAAATGCTATATCTCATAAATTAATAGTTCCACAGCTGTCAAATTTATACCCGTATATTTTGAAGATTAGGGCTGACCAAAAATCATATGGATTTAATACCAGTAGTACCATCTATGTTTCATCCACTATGCTCTTTCTACTTAAGATTGGCTGATGGCTGATGTAGGATACCTTATCATAGCAGAGGCCGTTTCTACAACACTACCGTAACTGGAACGGACCCGGATTACTAATCAACTCAAAATTACTTGCTTTATGCCGCAAGAACAACAACTAAACTCTTTCGAATGGCAGCTAAAATTATTGAGCAACTTTGCCTGTCTAAAGTTCACTCGGGGTTTCATAACAACTGCAGAGAACAAACGCTACTAGTGAATATTTCAGAAAAGCACTTGCTTTCATAAGTCATGAAAATAATATGCAATATAGCTTTTCATTTAAAAAAATAAATACATTTTTTTCTAAAATTTTCAATATTTTGTTTTTGCTTAGACACACTACATTTGTAATCTAATCCTTCGCGAATTTATCATAGAAGTCATAAACCTTTGGTTCGTATAAATGGATACAACTGCAGAATTAGAGTTGTCTTTGGAGGACTTGCTTCAGATGGCCTTGGGAACCGAATCAATAATCGGGGTTAACACAATTGCGCTGCATAGTTTGCTCGACTTGGTGCTGAAGAAATTAGGCTGTGAAAACGAAAAGGTCTCGATCAATGGCTACGAAGCAATGGTAATTGAAAAACTCTTGCAGGAGTCTTCCATTTCACCGCTTGCGTTTGAAACTAACCAAATGAAAACGGTAAAACAATTTGACTGTTTGAGTCAACTGGAAATTACGGTCAAGGATTTGGAAGAAAAAATAGACAAACACTTAGAGGGAGTGCAGCACGATAACTCGATAAAAAGCTTTAATAATTCATTTTCGAATTCTCCGATATTCAGCCGGGAACATATTTGTTCCACCTGCGAACCAAATATGAAAGACATATGCAACTTTATTGCTGACTCCAAATTCAAGCATAAAATTTTAGAACAAATTATCCTACCTGTATATAAGCACTTACAAGCCATGTCAAAAAAATTGGAAGATTTCGAAATCGAATTCGTAAAATGGTTGGAGTTCATGGAACAACATTTGCAAACTATTAGTCTAAAAGACACAGTTATGATACGTATTCTAGAAGTGGACGAAGAATTGACAAATTATCGTAATGAGTTTATGAATGCCATGGAGGATCTACAGGATATATTAGATACCAAGGTAGACCGATGTGACGTGTTCGCATTACAAAATGTTGTTGAACAAAGAGTTGAGGTTATCCAAAGAACGATGCGCGAATATATCGCTAAAGCTATGAAAGCTAACACTACGGTTTTTGCTTTAGAATCAAATACATCAGATCGAAAGGTCTATGAAAAAACTCCGAGGACTATTGAAATAGATCCGATATGTGATTGCCAAGTATATGCTCAATCGAATTCGGGACTAAAAAAAGCTCATGAGCAGCAGATTGACTTCGACTCAAAGAAACCCAAACTTAACTTTACAATTAAAAGAAGTTATTCAAGTTCAAGCTAACTTAGCTTTTGGGCCTTAATCAGTGAGATTGAGTGAGGACATACACATTACTAAAAAAAGTTTAATACACTTTTATTTTTATCATCTTGGAAAAATGCTTTTAAAATCAACTCGCCTTAACGCCTATAAAACTAACTTTAACAATAAAAAACTCGCGAATTGGAAACATATTTTCAATATGAATTGTATTGAGATTGTCCAACAATTTATGATAAAATTGATTCGTCGAACATCAGCATTCATTATTTCATCTAAATATTATATATATGTATATGTATACAGGAAATCAGGAAAGCCTTAAGTTACAAAAAATTCAAAATCGAATTTTTTATTGATTATCATGCATTGTATCATAATACATATTCCTTTAAAATTTTATAATCCAACAACCAATAATAACGTTGTATAAACAAAATTCAAAACGCCCTAAGTGCAAGCGTAACAAATTTGCCAACCAAGACAGTAACTTACGTCTTCTTCTCTATCAGTTTTTCTTTTATTGTATTTCTAATAAAACATGCTTTGTTTTGGTTTTTTGCTTCTGTAAAATTTATTAAATGTAACTTAGGGCTTTTTTGATTTAATGTGATTATATACATATTTCAATCTACTATAATTTTGAACTTTGAACAATACTGGGCAAAAGGGTGTGGGTCATAGCTAAAAGTGCCGACACAACAATCAAATCAATTCGGCTCATCATGCACAATAGGTGATCGATTCAAGTACCAACCATTGTCAACTGATTTGATGCAACACGAACAATCTGTTCTTCGGCAATCTGGATCGAGTAAACGGTATAGCCGACTACGGTTCAAATGAAATCATATCAGGACATTGCGTTGCGACCATAGATTGAACTGAACCAATGTATACCTAGGGCTTTTAAACTCAGACTCTTTTGTAACCCAAACCGGTTTATTGTGGGCGAGGGGACGACAAGGAAAGACGAGGGAACCGTGCCACTCGTGTTCGGGTGGCACGCTTTGTGTTCTTGTTCGTAACAGCTCGCTGCTACCCTTTTCAGCATTACTTTTCACTTTCAATTCGTTCACAAATTTGACTTCTGTTATCTATTTTTATACTCTCGCAACCTGTTGCTACAGAATATAATAGTTTTGTTCACCTAACGGTTGTTTGTATCACCTAAAACTAATCGAGTTAGATATAGCGTTATATATAAATTATCAGGATGAAGAGACGAGTTGAAATCCGGGTGACTGTCTGTCCGTCCGTCCGTGCAAGCTCTAACTTGAGTAAAAATTGGGATATCTTTATGAAACTTGGTAGACATGTTTCTTGGTACCGTGAGACGGTTGGTATTGCAGATGGGCGTAATCGGATCACTGCCACGCCCACGAAACGCCATTATTCAAAAACAAATAAATTGCCATAACTAAGCTCCACAACAAGATACAAGACTCTTATTTGGTATACAGGATCACAATAGGGAGGGGCATTTGCAGTTAAATTTTTTTTAAAGTGGGCGTGGTCCCGCCCCTAATAGGAAAGAGATAACAATTTCAATATGAATTGTATTGAGATTGTCAACAATTTATGATAAAATTGATTCGTCGAACATCAGCATTCATTATTTCATCTAAATATTATATATATGTATATGTATACAGGAAATCAGGAAAGCCTTAAGTTACAAAAATTCAAAATCGAATTTTTTATTGATTATCATGCATTGTATCATAATACATATTCCTTTAAAATTTTATAATCCAACAACCAATAATAACGTTGTATAAACAAAATTCAAAACGCCCTAAGTGCAAGCGTAACAAATTTGCCAACCAAGACAGTAACTTACGTCTTCTTCTCTATCAGTTTTTCTTTTATTGTATTTCTAATAAACATGCTTTGTTTTGGTTTTTGCTTCTGTAAAATTTATTAAATGTAACTTAGGCTTTTTGATTTAATGTGATAATATACATATTTCAATCTACTATAATTTTGAACTTTGAACAATACTGGGCAAAAGGGTGTGGGTCATAGCTAAAAGTGCCGACACAACAATCAAATCAATTCGGCTCATCATGCACAATAGGTGATCGATTCAAGTACCAACATTGTCAACTGATTTGATGCAACACGAACAATCTGTTCTTCGGCAATCTGGATCGAGTAAACGGTATAGCCGACTACGGTTCAAATGAAATCATATCAGGACATTGCGTTGCGACCATAGATTGAACTGAACCAATGTATACCTAGGGCTTTTAAAATCAGACTCTTTTGTAACCCAAACCGGTTTATTGTGGGCGAGGGGACGACAAGGAAAGAGAGGGAACCGTGCCACTCGTGTTCGGGTGGCACGCTTTGTGTTCTTGTTCGTAACAGCTCGCTGCTACCCTTTCAGCATTACTTTTCACTTTCAATTCGTTCACAAATTTGACTTCTGTTATCTATTTTTTATACTCTCGCAACCTGTTGCTACAGAATATAATAGTTTTGTTCACCTAACGGTTGTTTGTATCACCTAAAACTAATCGAGTTAGATATAGCGTTATATATAATTATCAGGATGAAGAGACGAGTTGAAATCCGGGTGACTTCTGTCCGTCCGTCCGTGCAAGCTCTAACTTGAGTAAAAATTGGGATATCTTTATGAAACTTGGTAGACATGTTTCTGGTACCGTGAGACGGTTGGTATTGCAGATGGGCGTAATCGGATCACTGCCACGCCCACGAAACGCCATTATTCAAAACAAATAAATGCCAG